AAAAAAAAAAAAAAAAAAGAAGAAGAAGAGTCCTACATCTCAAAACTCAGAAAATATAAACTGGTGTACAAAGAAAAACCTTCATCCCTCTCCTCTCCTTCATTGGTGGTCTTTCTTTCTTTCTTTTTTGGAGACAGAGTTTCACTTTGTCACCCCTGGTAGAGTGCTGTGGCATCATATCTCACAGCAACCGCCAACTCTTGGGCTCAAGCAATCCTCTTGACTCAGTTTTCTATTTTTAGTAGAGATGGGGGTCTCACTTTTTGCCCAGGCAGGTCTCAAATTTGTGAGCTCAAGCAATCCATCCACCTTGGCCTCCCAGGGTGCTAGGATTACAGGCTTGAGCCACCGTGCCCGGCCTGCAGTTTCTCTTAAAACATGCATGCAGGCTGGATGCCCATATCTCAGTGGGTAGAGTGCTGGCCCTGAGCTCCAGGAGTGGCAGGTTTAAACCCGCCCTAGGTCTGCTTACCAAACAAACAAAAAAAGAAATGCATACATACACTTTGCCACATGCATTTTTATTGAATCCTTGTTTACCCTTCCAGAGATTATGCAACTATGAGCAAATACAAATAGAGTCTATTTCTCAGATAAAAGTAGTAAATTATTGTGCATCTTGCATTTTTTATTCAACAATAAGAATGGAGGAGCCTTCTCATTCTTTGTCCTTTGTCCTGTCCTCCAGTGTGTGGAGGTGCCAAGCGTTATCTAACCAACCTTCAGGAGGAGGACATTTGAAAGTACTGGGGACAAAATTAAAACCTGTTAATCCAGAAAACCTTTCCACAAAAGTTAGAAGAGAAAGAAAACAGTTTTGTTTTGTTTTGTTTTGTTTTTTGAAATAGAGTCTCATTTTGTCACCCTTAGTAGAGGGCTGTAGCATCACAGCTCACAGCAACTTCAAACTTTTGGGCTCTAGTGATTTTCTTGCCTTGGCCTCCCACATAACTGAGACTATAGGCGTCTGCCAGAGTGCCCGGCTATTTTTTGGTTGTAGTTGTCATTGCTGTTTGGCAGGCCCAGGCTGGATTTGAACCCACCAGCTCCAGTGTATGTGACTGGCACCCTAGCTGCTGAGCTACAGGCACTGAGCCAAAAAGAAAACAGTTGTATTACTGAATAAGCATGGAGGCAGACTGCAGTATGGATCACAGATTCATGAAAGATGCACAGGCGGGAGGAAATGTCTCCCTCTCACATAGGCAGGCGGGTACAACTTAGTGCACGCGTGTTCTCAGACAATGACTAGTCCTCAAGTGGGATGATTAGACAGCACCATTTGTCATGTAATTCATCCTGAATGTACCTGGCAATTAAAGTGGCCATCTGTTAGTTAATTATCCAAAGGAAACATAAACCCATATCTTTACGATAGGTGATGGTTTTACAACTTGGAGCCATGCCGAAGTTAGACTCCTCCTCTCCCTCAGAGTCTGTGTGATAAGGGTGCTCAAGGTCCTTAGGAAAACATCCCTGGGGCCAGGCTTGTGGCTCACGCAGGCAATCCTAACACTCTGAGAGGCCTGCAAACCGAGCACTCTAGGAGGCCAGGGAGGGCAAAAAGGACTTCACAAATGGAATGCAGGTTACACACTTTAAAATAAGGAGATTATTTTGGATCACCTGAGTGAGTCCAATCTAATCACATGAGCTCTTTAAAGCAAGAGATTCAGCAAAGGAGGTGAGAAGAGAGAAGAAGCAGGAGATTCCAAAGGTGAGGAGGATTTGACAGCTTTGCCTGCTGTTGCTGGCTCTGAGATGGAAGAGAAGCCAGTGCATGAGGACAGAGAGAGCTGGGAGCCCGAAGGAGCTAAGGGCAGCCCCAGGTGACAGCCAGCAAGGAAGCAGGAACCTCATCCTGCAAACCCAAGAGAGCTTAGAGCAGATTCTATCCCAAAGCCTCAGGTAAGGAGCACGGCGCTGCCAGCGCCCTGACGTTAGTCCCATGAGACTGGGCTCTGACGTCTGACCTGGGAAATATCATAAATTTACATTGTTTTAAAGTTGCTGATCCACTCACAAGGCTGAGGTGGGAGAATCACTTGAGCCCAGGAATTTGAAGCCAGCCTGGGTAATGATGCCACATCTCTTAAAAAACCTGCTGTGGCCGGTTGCAGAGGCTCATGCCTGTAATCCTAGCCCTCTGGGTAGCCAAGGCAGGTGAATTGCTTGGGCTCAGGAGTTCAAGACCAGCCTAAGCAAGAGCAGGACCCCATCTCTAAACAAACAGTCAGGCGTTGTGGTGGATGCCTATAGTCCCAGCTACTCAGGAGGCTGACACAGGAGGATGACTTGAGCCCAAGAGTTTAAGTGTGCTGTGAGCTATGATGCCACGCAGCACTCTACTGGGGGCAAGAAAGCGAAATTCTGTCTCAAAAATTATAACAATAAATAAATAAACAAGAATAAATTAAAAAGCCTGCTGTGTGGCCATTCCTGGCAGCAGCAATAGTAAACTGATAGAATGGTGCTTCCTCCCTTGTTCTACCGCCCTGTAAGCCTGTAAAATGTGTTCATGGGCCTCGGGCATCCAACATCACATTTCAGATGTGGAAACAGAGGTCCAGGTGGGGGAATGATCTAGCCAGAGTCACCCAGAAAATGGGTTCCAAAGTCGGGACACAAAGCCCACTTCAGTTGGCCAAATCCAGCTTCCTTTCTAATGAGTTGTTGGCGTAAGTCCCGAGAGGCAACAG